GTAAGCGAAGGCAGCATCGCGCTGCACGTCTTCGGCTTGTATGCCGTGTCGTCAGTTGCCGCCGCCTGCGGCTGGACGAGCTGCTCGCGAGCCGCCCAGCGTGTGAGCAGCCGTCGCGCAGCAGTCGTCCTGGAAACTAGGACGGTGGTCGGGTGCTCGCCCGCGGGGCTCGGGAGCGGGGCTCACCCGCCGCACTGGGCCCCCATTCTTCGTGCATGCCCCGAGGGCACGAGAGCCCCCCCCATGGCCCACGGCGACGAGGGACGGGCCCAAGACGCCAGACGGGGGCAGCCCCCTGCGCGATGACCCCTGGCGCCTGAGGCCACCGGGAGCATCGCGGTCCGGTCTGGCCGCCCCCCGTCCGCCCGAGCCCTCGCGTGGCCCGGCGGGCGAGCGGGCTTCCCAGCCCCGGACGGAGGACCACCGACGGTCGCCTCGGGGCCGCCGGCCCAGGCTTTCGAGCCGCGTCCAGCGGTCCACGGCTCGCAAGGCGTGCGCCTGGCTCGGGCGGCTCAGCCTGGCCAGCGCCCCGCCGCCACCGCCTGCCGCGTCGAGCCTCCTGGCTGCCGCCCGCTTCGGCGCGGGCGCGCCCCAGGGCGCGCCGCCAGGTCCGTCGCCGCCGCCGCCGGCTTCGTCGGGCCGCCTGCCCTCCCGCCGCGCTCGCCCTCCAGCCGTGCCACCCGGCGGTGGGGCCGCGCTCGGCGCCCTGCGCTCGGCGGCGCATCGCCCGCGCGCGGCCCGCCGACGCGAGGCGGCTGCGCCCTGGGCCGCGCGCGCCAGCAGGAGCGTGCCGACCTCCGAGGCGCAGCCCATGCCGAGCTTCCACACGCCCGAGGGCGAGGCCGATGAGACGGCCAGGGCGGCGACGAGGTGCGCGACCGCCGCCGACGGCTGCGCCGAGCTCCACGGCCAGGCCCACGACGAGCTCCATCTCCCTGACGGGCAGCTCCACGACGAGCTCCATCTCCATGGCGACGACTTCCAGCTCCATGACGAGCTCCAGCTCTATGATGAGCTCCACAGCGACGGGCTCCAGCTCCATGCAGAGCAGCTCCACGCCGAGCTCCACGGCCAGGTCCACGACCAGTACCACTGCCACGAAGGGCGGCCCCGCGAAGAGCTCTGCGAGCTCCGCGCCGAGGGCGTGCGTCAGGGCCTTCCCCACGACGAGCTCCACGGCCATGACCGCGCCACGGCCAGCACGAGCGCCTCCGAGACGAGCTCCGCGGCCAGGGCGCCCGCGCCCGCGATGGGCGGCTCCGCGGCGAGCTCCGCCTCGCCCCCCTGCGACACAGGGGTGCCCGCCGCGAAGAGCAGCTCCGCGGCGGCGTCCACGTCCACGTCGTCCTCCAGGCCTGGTCCGCGGCAGGCTTCGCGGCCACGACGGGCGACCCCGCGATGAGCTTCACGGCCAGGGAGGGCGGCTCCACGGCGTCCTCCACGGCCTGCTCCACGACGGGCTCTGCGGCCACGACGGGCGGGGCTTCGCGGCGGCCGCCGCTGCCTTGGCGGGCGACTCCACGACCGCGCCCTCCTCGGCGTCCTCCGAGC